CCAAAGAGCAATCATTCTAGGAAAAGACATTTTCCTACAAGAAAAGGAAGCATTAGCTAATTGTTGAGCTGTCCTGGCCGAACTCTCCTGGCAAAAGCTCGAGCCTTGCATAAATACTAAATATATGGACCTATCCTATCATTGGAACATCCATTATTTCTATTTTTTTCCCTGTAAGTTATGTGAATGATTTGTCAGTTTACAATGCCAAACATAGCTCTTAAATCTTTTAAAAAGTTGTAAGTTTTCAAACACAAACCCTCAATGCATTTTACTATAATTTTCTATAATAGACCAAGACAAACTTGTGTTTAAATGTGAAGTATAACAATATCTATTTATGTTTGGATCTTTTTTCATATAAAATTAGAAAAGTTTGTGTAGCACAGTTGCTTACAGGACCGATGTCCTGTAAGCAACTGTTATTTAGTTGTAGATGTGAAAGGAAATATTCAAGTATTACTTAGATTTGAAGCATTTTGTTGTATGCCTGATTGTATAGTGAGTGTGATACTTTTTTTTTCTGGAAGGAGAAAATTCACCCCAATTTCAAGGATTCTGCAGCCTTAGGGTTTCCTTTCAAGGTGCAGGGTTTTGTTTGGTGACTATATTATGTTTATTGCTGCTCTTTCTTTCTTCCCATCAGCTCTGACCAGCCTTCCTTTCTTGTTAAAGTAAAGTTGCTTCATGACACGGTGATGGCATCAACATGTTTCTTCTGTGAGGATGCACATAGTTTTCCAAAACATAGAATTTTGCATAAAGCAAACATTTAATTTTAGTCTAGCTGCAGACGAAACTTCCAGGGATTTTCTTTTGCTGACTCTTCCATAAAGGCCAGGATTTGTAGACTGCAAGCCTAATGGATATATTATCAACAGATTATCTAACATGAGCTGTGGACCTTTAGATGCCTCTTCAGTTAATGCTTTACTTGTCTGAAGTGCTGCCATGTTTGCAGCTTTGCCATGTGCTGGTGTTTTCAGATGATGAATGAATCAAACAGATCTCTGTGAGATTTTTAAAGTTTGGGCTCTTATTTAATAACTAACACTGATTCAAATTTCTTCACAACTTTCCTCCTGACCAGCTTGATTTGTCCCTTGATCCTCAGGTTGCTGTTCTCTGTTAAACCGTTGAACCCTTCACAAACCATATCGATTTATTATTAGATTATGTTACAAAAAAGGGCATTATTTACTAATTTGGTGATTACTGAAGACCGCTTGTTGCAATGGATTTAATTTTGGGTGTCATTGTAAAAAGGTCTAAATCTTAATGCCAATGTGCAAAAATTGTAAAATTATGTAGAAAATTATTTAACTTTACAGTTATATCAGGTGAAATATCTGTGAAATATATCGGTGTGATTATAAGCTCATATAATTTTTAAAAAGTTCAAGGTGTTTGAAATCTTTCATGACACTATATAGAAGACATAAAAGTTTAAATAAGTTAATTTTACTTGAAATGCTTGTATTCTCTTTTGTTTTGAGAAGGTAATTAAGAGGATTTGCCAATAGAATAAGATGATATTTAAAATAAGAAAAATACGAAAAAGTGAATAACATCTATTTAGCATATTTCCAGGGAAAAATAACCAATTTCATTGGCGAATGAAATTATTTGTGCTCACATTAAGAGCAACTCTCATTTTAAGACATTTTTCTTTATTTTCAGATCAGATTTTGCAGTGACATCTGTGGGCTATTGGAGCATTTTTTAAAAGCAATGTTTTTAAAGATTTGAATTTCTGGGAACTTTAAGATCTTTTTTTATTTATAAATGATTCTTGTATTAGAATCAAGAATCAAAAAGAAAGAAAAAGATATAAAAGAAGGAAATAGAATAATAAAAAAAGAAATGAAATAATTTTTGTGAAACTAAAGAAGGGGAGGTCTTATGGAAGAAGTAAGAAAATAAAAATATAAAAGATGTCCAAAGTGTTTTTAAAGGGGGGTTTATTTTTCACTTAATAATCATATTAGGTCAAATCTGTATACTACTGACAGTAAAGCCATCAGAGAAAACAAAAAAGGACCTTCTGAGGTTGTATTTCCTAATGTGGATACAATGACTTTTTGACAGGGAAAGCATCTCTTGCCCTTCTCACTAGCTCCTTCTTTTGCCTATTCATTGCACAAAGCTGCTTAAGCACACTTAAGCGCATTAGCATTTGGCTGCCAGGGGACCATATTGACCCAACATTTGGATGGCCTAAATGAGTGAAAGATGGAGCGATTTGTTGGGGCTTTAGAAATTTCCTTTTGGGAGTGGGGGGGCAAGCACGAAGGAGGCGGTGGAGCTGTGTGGGGAGGGGTGGTCTGCAAGGAGTTGTTCCACTTTCTCTCAGGGTACGGTGTTTGTTCTAATCTGGTGCGCCATTTCTTCATGGCCGAAGCAGGTCTGATTTGTGACATTTCAGCCTAAGCGCTTTTTTTTTTTTTTTTTTCTACCGGCTGTATTGGCCTGACCCGATTAGCTAATCTGTGCTTTGAATTTCAATCAGTCCTCTCAGCCTCTGCTGTGTGCTATGGGAACCTCTGGCTGAGGGATTTCCTTATTCAGCTGTCTTCAAACACAGATGGCCGAATGTTTAACTAATTGTTAAGAGAGTTCACAAAGCCGAATTTAACCCTGCACACAGGCCAGGGGCTAAGTACATAGATGAGACAAAAAGGAGGGACAGTGAGGTGGGAGTTTGTGGGATGGTTCTTTAAAACAAGCATTTGAATGCAACACAGTGTTTGGTATAAATGAACATCTGGTTAACTGTAAGGTGTCCCTGATTTGAACATTTGATCTGCAGTATCATGATAAACAGTTGAGATCAGCAGTTAAAACGCATGCATCGCTCCAGTAATGCTGTCTGAAACATTTTTAAAGCAATAATCAAGCTTCTTGCATAATTCTGACTGAATAATGATTCATTTCATGTGAACTTTTTGGTTGCCATGCCTCTATGATATTTAAGCATGGCCACCAAAATGAGTTCACCGAATTCCCTTTATGCAGACACTGGAGTCTACTGCATAAATTAAATTGAGACATTTCAATCAATTTAAAAAAAAAAATTTTTTTTCCTTACAGATTTGATCCACACCTGCACAAAACTGTTGGTGCTTCTTGTTTAATGAAAGAAAAACCCAAATTGTTCACAGACATAACTTAATTCTGACAAATGTAATGATAAAAATCTAATGAAAATGAACAAATTAAAGTCAGACATTGCTTTTCAACCATGATTCAACAGAATGATTTAAGAAATAAACTCATAAAACCGGCTTGGAAAAGGTACACATACAAAAGATGGAAAATAATGTGAGCAAAGGGGCATGTTGGATCAAGGTGTGTCCACTAATTAATATCACAGGTGTCGACAATCTAGTAATCAGTCAGTTGGCCTACCTATATGTACTGTAGGGCATATAGGATCAGATTCTCAGAAGAATTGTTGGAGTTCATTTGAATCAGTTGATCTTCCAGTAACCATTTTTTTCTTCAAAAAGACAGTAACTGAACAGTTGTGATGAGGAGGATCTACAGTACAGAAAAATGACGACAAACTTTAGTCCATAAATATAGTATCAGCTGTTGCCAATGGGTGGTTTTACTGCCAAAGGAACTGGTCCATCAAAAAGAGTCGATGGCAGCAGGGTCGGACTGGGAATGAATTTTGGTCCTGGCATTTTTCCATCTACATCGACCCACTACCACGTGGTAGTGGGTCGAAAAAAATAGAAATAAAAGGGGAGTCAAATCAGTACGATTACACATTGTGGATTAAACGATCATCACACGACAACCATAACCAAGACTTCTATAATGAGGTTTTACTGGCTTTGGTTATTTAACACGGACTTGACAGTGAGTGCTGCTGCGCAACGTCCACACTTGCACGAAGCCAGCCAGACACCCACTCACACGCACCAGGTCTACAACATAAGCACGAGTGTTGCAAAAACAGCAACATAAAACGATACAATATAGAGGCCGACAGGCAGTCCTTCAAGAATGAATACATGAAGGCTTAGCGTTGTATAAACATTCACTGCGAGTCTAGGTGCCATTTAGGCAATAAAATTAAATAACGTAATAGATGCAAAACCCGTCATGCACCGCAACGTATTTTTGAAAAAAATATTCAAACATAAATCCGCCAAATATAAGAAGAAAATCATAGTTTGGTTTAAAGAAAGCCTTTTTGTTTTATTATAAATATATTTTTTTGCAAGGATTTTACAAAATAGAAAGTGACACCATATGCCAACCATCACAAGGATGTGCATAACAATGAAGGGCTATATATAATGCATGTATCATTTAGTAGTTAACATTGTATTACTTCTTGAGCTGCTTGAGTTATTTACTGTCACAGGTAGGAGGTTCGGCTGCAGAGTAAGTGTTGGGACCGGTATGATTGAAGGAGGGCGGGCCCTCGATCACTGAAGTTAGAACCGGCACAGCGGGCAAATGCCCGGTATCATAGATTACCAGTCCTAGCCTAGATGGAAGGACCCAGAAGGAGGGCTACATTCTATTTCTTCGGCCTTGTGTCGGATCAAGAAATTACTGGCTAAACGTTAAACACAGAAGTTTAAAAGAGGCATGATTTGAAACGCATATCCATACTGGTTTTTGAGATAGAAAAAAAAAAGAGTAATATTAAGGTTCTGAAATAGATTTCCCAAAGCTCTATGTGGCCTCAAGATAATTAAAATTTTCTCAACTATGCTTAAGAGCAGAGGTCTGGGAAAATAAAAAAATTAAACATAAGAAATTGTGCAAAGAACAGTGGGTGAATGTATTGCTAGAAGGGTTTGAAATAGGCAAGTGGTTGAGGTGAAACTGGCCTTTGAATTTCCTCCAAATTATGGAAGAAAATACTCAGATTTAAAATTCAGTGGCTGGAAAGTCCTTTCCAACCAAAACTCCATGCTTGTATTTTTGCTACCTGTGTTTCCGGAATGCCTCACTATCTTCCTCTCCCTCTCTTCCAGACTCTCTGTTCTGCTGCCACCATGCAGGCCGTCAAAGACCCCAACACCAATGAAGTGGACAGGCTAATATTCAGAGAAAGTGGTAATGATCAAAAGGTTAGTTGTTTATTATTCACTGATTACAACTCACCTGCGTTACTCTGGGATATCAAAGATGCATCTGTAATTAGGTGTAAAAACAGCTTTATTGCATTGTTCTTTAGCTCCACCTCTCTTGGTTTAAGATTGTGCCTGACCTCAGCAGCAATAACATGATGCCGTCTGCCTCTGCTGCTCACTGATGTTAATTAAACCTCTAATTACCTCTCATAATAACTGTCATTAATCAGAGCACGTTTAATCTCTTTCTTTTCATTTAGGTTATTCTACAAGTTCAAAAGAAGACTTTTGAATATGTCAACCAGAACATTTTCCGGGAAAACAATGGGACCTCAGTAAGTTGACCCTTTACATCTTAACCCATCAAATGCTCACCTGCCCACTGATCTACTACTAATCTATTACAATATTAAATTTATCCTAACAGCATCATAGACTCACTCGTTTCTTTATGCTAACAGCAGCTGCAGTGTATAACAATTTAAATGGATTATCTGTGAAATGTTCAAAGGCAAATATAGCATGAAGGAGTCACAACAGATTTGTTTGAATACCGTAGCTTTTACAGAGTCCAGTGAGAATAAATAAGCACATGCTGAGAAAATCTATTTGCAGTTTATAAAGTGAGTCATTGAAGAACGCCCTGCATACAGTAAGTCGGCCTTAAAAAGCTTCCCATGCCTTGTTTTGGTGCTAGGGTTGTAATAACAGTAAGACCAGACCTTTGCAGGCAAAACTGGTTCTAGGGTGGCACCAGTACTTTCAGTGCCGCCCTAGAACTGGATTTGCCAGTTTTGGGGATAGAGATGGGATGAATTTTAGCAGGCAAGAGCTGGAAAGAAGTTCACCTTCATGTAAAGATGGCATTTGAACCCAGATGTCTTTGGAATAAATTTTGACTAAGCCTGTATGCACAGAGATCGAGTGTTAAGTATGTGCAGCTGAAAGCCCCTTTTACATTCCTCTGCTTTTATATGCCTGTATATTACATTAAGTAGTTCAACATTGCAGCTTGTTAAATTCTTAAAGAGGCATACACACCTACGAACACATGCATCGACAGAATGGAGCATGAAGCAGGAGCTTATTAAAGCTGTTTGACTCATAATATAAAAAGTTAATATAAGCCCAGGACAATAAATCAGCAGTCATTTATGAACCTCTAAAGCCAAAATAGCCAAATTGCTGAACGCTAAGAATCACCTGGATCTGAATATAAATTTAGAACATAAAAAATCTCTACTCAATTACATAAAGCAGCAGATTTATTATAAGAGAATGGAACAGAAACACTTTTTGTTATCTGATATGTAATCATATTAAATGGTTTTTCAAAATATATAACATTTCCTTCAACCTTAGCCCCAATTTAATGGTTAGAAGCAAAAGTCTGGGCTGGATTTTAAGCTGGCAGAGTATGACTCAGCATTTTACCTTCCTGTTTCTGCCCCTATCACTGATCACTTTTATGCTTTTCATGGACTGGATCCCAATCCATACATGCAGAGTGGCAGAAGTCTTTACTTCTTGCAGATGGTTTGCTTCTCTAAAGCCATGACCCTCAGATTGCACTAAAGTGATTTTCAGCAGGGCACAAAGCAGCCAGGATGAGGTGGCATCTCTAAACCTGAAGTCATGGTTCCTAACTTGAAAAAGGTGGATCCAGGCTGGAGGTCAGTCTTTGCCTAAAGCAAGAAAAGTTAATTTAAGTTAGTGTCTTGTTCTGAAGTGACAATGGGTTGGACTGTGAGACAAATTGGAGCCTTATAAAGTTATGATTTACTTTTTTTATCCTACGTTCAGGCCTTATTAATGGTCTGCAGATATGAAGCCCAACTGAAAAAAATAAGGTTTCTTATACAAGAAGCTTAATTCACCAAATTTATTCTCATCTAGAAGGTGGAGGAGCTAAATTTTGGGGATCCAGAGTGGAGTAGCGCTGAGTGGTTCTGTTGATGACGTCCAGGTGTCTGATCAGGAGGATTCTTGGTGACTAAGTTTGGATTACCTATGATCTTGAAAGCTCACACTTTTACAGTATGTTGTTCAGGCAAAACATGGTCTTTGAATAGATGTGCAGAACGCTTAGAGAGTTGCTTATTCAAACTGAGACAGTCTACTGTAACAGGGTTTCCGTGGGTCATTAAAAATCATTAAAAGTCATTAAATTATAATTTTTTAAATCAAGACCTTAATTGGCATTAAAATTTATTACATTTGATAATCGTGGCATTAAAATGCTTCGGAAAAGAAGCTTGAGGCGGAGAAAAGGCTAGAGAATGGGGAAAAATGCAAATTTGAACCAAAGTGGTGGGAAAATGAGGAACTCGGGACATGGCTGCAGCCTGTCCACGGTGAAGATGACGAAGGATTTTCCCGTGTATATATATATCAGTCATGGGTACTTGTTGATGGCATTAAGATTATTTCTAAGAGCATTAAAAAGCATTAAATAAGAGTTACTCATTCATGTATAAACCCTGTGTAAAGCAGCTGATTATACTCTTTGCAGTGTTTATTCAGCAAGTCAAAAACCAAACCCGACTTAACAGATCCTAATTTATTTTTTTCTTCATCTAACATTTTAAACTCTTTAGCAACTTTCTCACTAATGGACCAATTAGATTTAATGATATACAACTCACTAAAGGTGCAAATTAAGACTTCTATAAGGTCTCAAAATCCATTATGGATACAAGACAGACAGAAGTGATGTTTTTGTGCCTTTCTGTTAATTTTTCCAACTTCAAACTTAGAAATTAAACTTGCAGCTGAATTCATTAACCCCTAATCCATTGTATAGGTAAAGTTTCCTATTGTTCCTTTTTTTTGTAATGATCCAGATGGGGTAAAACTTATTAGACCACTCTTGTTTTTTTATTTTTTTATTTGTTGAATTTCTTCGGTAATACTGTATACAGTTAGAGGAAGAAATTGAAGAAAAAAGGCGCCCTAATCATGCTTTCTGTGACTCTATAACACAAGAAGCTTGAAAAAATCAGGTTTTGTTGTGCCACTGCTCAGATGTCTGACTCTGTTTTCAGATGAAAACCAGCTATTTATTAAGGGGTATCAGGGGTTATGAGGCTGTCTGTGAAACAGTTCCTCTATGAGGCTGATCCCCCCCCCTCCGCCTCAAATTCAGCACCTCCTCTTCCTTTCCTTCCTCCCCACCTCCTCAGCCAGTCAGACAAGATGGATGACATAATGGGGGCATCAGAGATAATCTGATGGTCATGGTCTAGTTAAACACACCGTGTTATGATCCTTATAAAACAAACTACCTTTCCAAAAGGATAAATGTCCCGCCTCCCACTCCTCTGCCGGGGCAGGGTAGAGAAAAAAAAATCCATTGCATCCTTCATCAACTGCAAGACTTGTACCAGCTTGACAGAAATTTAATTCGAGGCAGCTCTTGAAAATAATTATTGTATTTTGAGAGGAGTAATCATTGGTCGGGACATGATTGAATGTGTCCATGCCTATTGACTTTTGCTATGATTAATAGGTTTGTTTAGTCGATATTCCCATCGAAATTGTATAATTAATTATCCCCGGCGCTGTCACGGCAGGACGATGGAGAGCCCTGATGAGTATTTGGGAAGATTAAATTTTCCAGGCGCTCGTGGCGTCAAGGGGCACCATGGGGCCTTGCTCCGGCGGAGGGATGGGAGGAGAGCGGCTTTCGTGTTCTTGTGTGTGGCTGTGCACACCTCTGAACTCCTGCAAATCAGTTTCCTCCCCTGCAGCACACACACCCGTGCTCTGTCTCTCTCCCCCCATCCGCATTGATTTTGTTTCACTATCTCTTTATTGTAACTTTATCAGTGTGGTGTTGGCAGATGGGGGAGCAGGATGTGTTTGTGTTGTGATGAACCTTCCTGTCCTGCGAGCCTCTGCTCGTCATGCTGCTGGCGTTGGTCCTCGGCATTACTCACAAACCAGGAGATGTTTTAAACAAGAGGAGAACCGCTGCTCGAGCTTAAAGTTCTCTGATACGCCGCCTGTCACTGCTACTAAGTGGCACTTCAAGATCAATGCTAAATAAAATCAGATCGTAAGTGATTTAAATGGATTCTGCAATAGTTATGTCATTTATATTGGTTTGGAAATGTTTACTTAGCTTTATCAAAATAGATAGCTCCTGTGCTGTAGTTATATCTCCCAGTAAAAAACATGCGCATTTGGGGTATGCCATTATGAATTTTCCAAACCAATCACTCCCCTACATCACCAGTAGAAACTGAATTAGAAGTTTTTTAAGCAGAATTGATGATGGCAAAAGATTTTCATCAGAGATTTGGAGAATTTGCTCTTTTTTTTTGTGGCAAAATTTAGATCAAAACTCATTAAGTGCAATAACATGAGAGAAAGTGTAAAGAGGAAAATATTAAAGCTATAGATTCAATTCAATCGGCTCTGGGTCAGTTTCCCAACACATACCTTCATGTCCAATCTAGAAATCAACATTAACCCTTTACAGTTCTGTTTCATATCTCTTTACAAACACTTATCATAACTTTGTACTTTAACAGTGGTGAATCAGTTCATTTTTGTTATAGTTGATTATATTGATATTAATTATGAAGTGAAATAGTCAGAAATTAGCTCAATCCTGACTTCCACTTTAATTGTGGTTTATTGTATTATCTAGAATGTATTAAATTATACTCTAGTTTATTGTTTAGGGCCAGCTGACTTTCTGATCTAAAGAAAATTATAACATATTGCAGACCTATAACATATTTCCTCATCAAAATACTAATATATGATTATAAAAAGTGACTTTAAATCCTAAACTGTCCAGATTAAAAACAGTCCAGCTTTTGGTCATAGATGTGGTTGTAAAACCAACTCTAACTGCCTCATTATTGTACTGGTGAATAAAACTCAGGCCAGACTTTCTTTCTGTGATGTACAACAGTGACTGGTGACCACTGACATGGCAGCTTCCCTTTTGGTCGTTATTTCTAATGTTTCGTTTGCTTTAAGATTTTTATTGTTCCTTTTTTAGAGTTTTTGAGAAATAAAATGCTTCAGATATTAATGATCTAGTTGTTGGTTTTAAATGTATCTATTTTAAATATATTTGAACATTTCCTCAGAATACTTATTGACATCATGATTATATTTACCAATGATATCAAACTGGACTTAAGGCAAACATTCATATGAACTTGTTCACTCTCAGCCTAAAAATTGTAAAATACAAGTATTTGTTTATTTATTTTTAATAAAAGTGACTTAAGTTTTTTAATGACATTGAAACGCTGTCTAAATTTCTCCTGAGTTTGACTGCAGTTCTGCTGGGAGTGACTCCTCCTGTTCTGACTCA